ATCTCTTTTGCTGGTTTGCGAGCCTTTTTCTTTTTCTGGTACATGGACTAAGAAGCTCAGGTTTTTAGAGGTTTGCATTGGTGTAGAATATGCTACAGGACATTTGGTGTTCTGGCTGTGTCATGCAGTAGTAGGAGGTAGGTAGGTAGATAGAGAGCCTTGGTAACAAGGAGATCTAACAACATACTGTTAGACAGAGACAACCTGATAGACTTCAGAGTTGACTAGGTCAACCAAGATTTGTTTCTGTATATATAGATGGTCTAGGAATACTCAGATTTCACTGGTTTCGTTTATGACTACTAAAGGCGGAGTAAAGTAGTTAAAGTAGAATACAATCCTGATGACAATATTATATTATTAAGGTCTCTTCTCCATTGCTTAATGATGTCTAACAGCTTAGAAGGTACTTTGATATTTATATTCCACATCTGAGTGTTCATGAACTATATCTATCTATTATACAACTATGTACCTTTCTGATTATAACTTACAATGTCGGGTATTTTCCAAAGGTACGAACACCTGGAGACACTGAAAATCACCATACCATCTTAGATAATTATAATAAAGCTATCTAAGAACAATGCTGTCCCTAATAGTAATTATACAATCAACAATGTCTTTTTACTTATGACTTAGTACTTAAGTCGAACTGAGTTGACCCCAATTGTCTCCAACATTGATAAAATGATAAGGTTCATCTGCAGGTTGTATCTGTGAAGGTAGTTGTAATTGCAACCTTCTTAGGTTGCCTGACTTCAAACCTCCATAACTTTATATCTAACTAACAGACATCTTCCAGAGAGCTTCCTACTAATTTGAGGGAAGTTATTCTACTCAATTGACAGATTATCCCTCAGTGAGCAACCCTTGGTTGCTCTGGATAACAGGGTTTCTATTGTCCTTCTAGTATCAGGAATCATTTCTGCAACTATAGTGCATTCCTGGACCCAGTTGTAACACTCTAAGAAGTCTATTGACTTCTGTAGTAGTGTTTCTTGGAACTTTAGACTCTTCTAGTTATTATAGGATGGGTGTGAATGTATTGGTTTCTCATTGAGATCCTTTACCATTCAATACCATATCTTAGTACGAAAATGTCCCATTACCTACAGCCCCTACTAAAGGCATTACATCTTTGAAGCCTAGTAGTCCTCTGGGCGGTGGACAGATTTACACAATTCTACTTCCTAGACCTTGCCGAATGTCCCCTCTTATCTACCCGGTAAATAGGATCTAGTCAGATAGACGGCAGCGACGGATATGGTGTTATTCCTATACTTTCAGTTCCGTGGCATTATAGTCACAGGACACAACCGAGATCAATAGGTATGATGACATACAGGCCCCGTAAGGGGGCCGGAGGGAGGTGTTAGAGATGAGAGATTCCAATTCTGAGTCGGGTTATTCTATGTAGGGTGGTTCCTAGGTATCGGATCCTGGTATCTCTAACAGGTCTAAATAGAAGAGATTCAACTTCTGCCAGCATTTGGTCCTTTTCTTTCAGGGTTCTTGTGTATACTAGGCACTTACTCACATTAACTGGCTTTAAAGGAATACGCATCTTTGCACGCCATTTGCACTGGTAAGAGTTCCCAAGAGCACACCATAGGGTAGAGACTCTATCTCGCAATAAGGCTCTCTGGTCCAAGCACTTTACTAGTAATTCTTCAATGTCATGTAACAATCTGTTGCACATATCTCTCCTCCATGAGCATGACCTTCTTTGGCCTCGCAGATCGAAAGTGTGCACCTAAGATATTGTGGTCATTCGAGCACTTTACTGTGTATGAGATCGTTCTGTGATCACAGTCAAACTCACACACCTACTCAGCTGGTAATCTACCAGCTTCTTGCACCGCACCGATAGCTGTACATTCAACCGAAATTAGATCTTTGTGTGCCCCTCCTGGGGTCCAACTCTTTGTACTTAATCGTATACCAATAGCAGATATTCTAGAGTAGGATTGATGAAGTTGTAGATATTCGGGAGTGGGGGGGTAGTAGTAGTCTGCTGGGTAATTTGAGCTCAGATTTTTTTGATGGGGCGAAGTGGAATAGTACTTTTGACTCATGAGTTTAAATTGTTGATAGATATTGTATAACTAGATCTTGCAGTGGTATTCTGGGATTTTAGTCAATAAGTTGCTCAATTAGTAACTGGAAATGATGTGTCATAGGTGAACAACTCGATTGAGCTACATCTCCAACATTTAAGTAATCCTTCTCTTCTACTTACTTACAATGTTGTTAATAACAATATTGTGAACCTGTAATTTGGAGCAACTGGTCGTATTAGCTAGTTTCTGGTAACTCCAGTTTGGGTGATCATGATAAAGAATAGAAATTGCCAGGTTCTGTTTCTGGTGATCACATTTCTGCTTTGGGCATAGCCTAGGCGGAGGAGCCATTAGTGGTGATTGAGGAGAGGTGAAATGCATGATTAAATTTAACCATGGTACCAAGACTTTTGTTATGCGACTGTACATTACTCGAGTAAATTACTGTACCCGTACAGTATGAATGTGAGAACTCCGTGAGCTTGTCCGTTCCTTTTCATTTGGGCCACCGGACTACCGTACCATCACCGTAAGATATCCCACCTTTTTAATCCTTCCACCTCAATCCCCCAACATATCACACACACATTAAAGCGCACCAAACACTTGGGAGGAGGGGAACAGGCATACCTGCCCTTTCCAGAGTTCTCTCCCCGTAGTTACCCAAGAAAAGGGATCACAGACCATATGATAAATGGCAACAACCGCCGGTACTCGAGTACTGTACTCGGGTACGAGTAATGGGTGTGGCTTTATTGCCCAATAGGGTGCGTTGCCTTGGAGCAAGGTCAGTCAAGGCCGGGGGTGGGTTGTTCGACTCGGCAGTTTGTTTTCTGGTCGAGAGCCGCATGGCGGGTCTGTTTTTTTCTCTCTCTTTTTTCTTTTTTCTTTTTTCTTTTTTCTTTTCTTTTCTTTTCTATACTGGAGTATTTTCTTTAGTTTTACGCAAGTGATGATAGTATTGGGCAAGAAAGAGGAGTTTTCATCTCAACAGTCGAGTGTACTGTAAATTACCGATAAGGCTCTCTCTCTTCGGGGGGTTTTTTTTTTCCAGAGCGAGCGTGTTCGCTTGCGGTTGCCTGCATCAACACCATTCACAACTCCCTTTTTTCTTCATCGCACAATATGTATCAAAGCACAAAATCTCGAATAGAAGATACCGGTACTTGCTTTGCAAGTAAATATTCTATGACGTAGTATGATATTACGGCAGTTGCCCCTCCTACCGGTACGGTAGGCTATTGAAAGAGGAGTAAGGTGCTGTGCACACATTTTTCTTGTCTTGTGTCAAAAATTAATAATGACTTGAGCTTGCCATGTTTCCTCTCGTGGCCGAGAAGGGAAACTCCAACGTCCTATTACCGGTATCTCATTTACAGCACAGTATCTTCTATGATATATGATACCGGGAATACTCGAATGGCACTCGAGTATCATACTTGAGCCCGGTACTTGCCGTAGCCCCCGTCCAATTTTTTCTCCTCTACGAGTACTCGTATCCCGCTTTCCCGCCCCTCTCTCCCTGCCGTCTTTGGTGCTGGCACCCTTCGCTGCTCCTACTGATGATCTCGTTCTCCGGACTAGTTTTCATTTCCTTTTCTTCTTCTCGCAGAACATTCGCACGCTAATGTTTTTTTCTCTAACCCCCGAGTAGAACAGGAAGTGTACAAGTACGGTACGGGTGACTCGGCGCTGCTGACTTACTACTCGAGTGTACGGTACCGGCACGAGTACTCGAGCACAGTAGGTTCGTTGGTGGTAATCGTGGGGCTAGGTTACGTTCATGCACGGCCTATCGGTCCGTTGGACCGTTGGTGGGTTGATAAGGCAAAAAGGGTGGTTTGGAAATTGAGCGACTGCAATTTAGTGGGAGCAACTGCTCTATTCGCTTTAAAGGAAGATATGAGAGATTTTGGCACTCTACTTTCGAGTCAGTCAACCACCATTCGCAATCGTCGAGGGGAATTAGGTGGGAAAAGGAAAGGGGGGGGGAAGGTGGAACTGTGAGAACAGACTTGGTGAACCGCTGCAGAACGCTGGCGTGGTGGAAGTATTGTCTACTCTACTGTACTTTACGAGTACTCTTACTCGTAAGTAGGCACTGATACACCAACAACTCTGTGGGTTGGACAAAGCGAGGAGTCACCCAGTCTTTAACTCAACATCAAATTCGGCCCCACTCTCGATCCCAACCTTCCTTCCTCCCCTGGTCCTTTATAAATATTCCGCTTCCTTTGCCCTTATTGCAAGGTACCTTCCTCTTACCTTCTTCCTGGATAATTCCCTATACAAAGTACCCCTATCATACGACGAGACTCAACACGTCGTATGGCCGGATAACTCTTTATTTCCAATCTTCCCTTTCTATCCCTCTCCCTCGCTCCCGTCCCCCCCCGTCCCCTCCTTCTTCAGAAGGTTACTGTTCTGCATACAGTGCTCACCCATCAATCTTAATGGCCGCAACTTTACCACGGAAGGAGTTTCCTACACGTCAGCTGTTTGTACTTTGTGAGCCTTTTCCTGCTTTCCCCGCACCCGTGTTCGTGATTCTACCCCGAGATGGGAGGGGGAGCTAATTTTTCGCGGTATCATAGCATTATGTCGGATCTGCGAGCCTATTTCGTTCTGTTCGATTCTTCCGTATATCTATTATATGATTGAGTCGTTTGGTTGTGCCGTTTGTCCCCTTTTCTTCTTCCTCTAGCAATATTGTGATGGAAGCAGATGATTGATGATGTTTGTTTTCAGAAAAACCCAAATGAAGTCGCCGTCTACGCCGGTATGGTTACGAGCTCTTTTGCCTTCGCTGAGTTCACGACCGGGATGATGTGGGGCAGGGTCTCAGACAAATTTGGGAGAAAGCCGGTCTTGATCATGGGTCTTGTGGGGACTATGCTTTCCATGTTGATATTCGGATTTGCAAAGAGTTTTCCTGTAGCTTTGATTGCGCGTGCGGTTGGTGGGGCACTAAATGGGAATGTCGGGGTACTTCAGACGACGGTTGCCGAGCTGGCCACCGAGAGGGAGCATCAAGGTATGTTGAATCGATTGATGATATCGGAGGTACGAATTATGTATGGGTGATGTTGACAATTGCTTAGCGAGGGCTTTTGCTGTCATGCCCTTTGTTTGGTGCCTAGGGTCTATTGTCGGTCCCGCCCTCGGTGGTCTCTTGGCCGACCCCGTGAAACAATATCCGGCTATGTTCCACCCTGGCGGGGTTCTTGAGGAGTACCCATATCTCCTACCTAACCTAGTATCTGCGAATATACTGGCGGTGGGAATTATAATTGGGACTTTGTTCCTGGAGGAAACTCACGAGATTCTCCGTGAGAAACCGGATATCGGGGTGAGGACGGGAAGGAAGATAGTCAAGTTTTTCAAGAGACGTAGTTCTGGGGGAAAATTTGAGGGTCCGGAGGTGTGCGGATCTCCGCCTAAAGATGGGGAGGAAAGGTTGCTAGCCAGCGGTAGTAGTGAGTATAGCACATTTCCCAATGCCCTAGCGACAAATATTACAGAGGAGGAGCAAGTGAGAAAGGGACCTCCAATCATCAAAACTTTCACCGCCCCGGTTGTACTATTAATCGTGTCCTATGGGATATTGGCTTATCACACCATGGGGTTTGAGCAACTCTTTCCTGTCTTTTTATCCACCCCTCGGTCTGCGGAACCTCCGCACCATCTGCTCAAATTTACTGGTGGTTTTGGATTGGACACCCAGACTATCGGCTTCATTCTATCAGTACAAGGTGCCGTTTCAATGGCCATCCAATTCCTTTTCTTTCCACCGATAGTCGAACATTTTGGAACCTTAAGCGTCTATCGGTTTTGCATGTTTCTATACCCAATATCTTACCTCATAGTTCCATACATTGATTTTCTCCCCCCGTCGCTCTCCATGGTCGGTGTGTGCGGCGTCCTTCTTGTCAGGATCACATTTGGCGTTCTTGCTTACCCCTGCAACGCGATCCTTCTCACCAATGCCGCTCCATCCCTTCTTGTCCTTGGCGCGATCAACGGTGTCGCTGCTAGTGCCGCAAGCATCTCTCGAGCTTTGGGCCCGACTATTACCGGAATGATCTACACTCAAGGCCTCGACTGGGGGATGGTGGGGCTTGCTTGGTGGGTCAATGCGGGTGTCTGTGTGCTCGGTGGCATTCAATGTCTATGGATGAAAGAGGAAGACTTCGACGGCAACAACAAAACCGGGGAGATTGTTATAGACGAGGAAGTTTGCTGGAGGGTTGCAGCAGAAACGCAGGCTGCGCATGCACATAATACGGGGCTGGTATCTGGAGAGGAGTTTATTAGCGAGTGCACGATAGCACGTAAGACCGCCGGCGAGGAGGTTGCCAACAGCTTTGGGGAAGAGGGGGATATGGGTGGAAGAAGCGAGTAGGGCCAAGAAGAGCGAAGCGAACTCTTGTTGGTCAATTGATCCATTGTACATAGCCACTCCTTGCCCCCCCATGGGGTCCAGAAATTATGATCCCAATGAGTAGCGGTACCGATATAGTAGCTGAGGTTAGATTCCTCATCATAAGACGTCACTCGGAGTTTTTCTGTTCTTTCCTAGCTTCCCTTCTCGTGCTAGAAGCCAGTGGTTTTGTCTCTCGATCGGGAGTTTGAGTTGGGTAAAATGTGAGAGCGCAAATACAGTACCAGGGGAAATGTTTTCGCATAAGACAGGGATTATTTTGTTGGCTCACTATCCTTGTCTTGAGTAAAAAAACATTTCTCCCCGGGTACTTGAACTGTGGGCTTGTGAGCTTTGAGAAATGTAAAACATTGGTCGTCAGGCTCGGTCAACTTGGGCCTGCTGATTTAGTGATCTATTGATTGATTGGTAATTTTAGTGTTATTGTTACGGGATATTCGACCTTGGCAGCATAATTGTGCCATTGACCTTAAATCTAGGAGCATGGTAAGCGGGTAAAGTTTTGTGTGGTGGTCGTACCGTATACTCCAAGGGGAAGGAATGATTGCCAACCCTATTAATCCACATCCCAGTAGAACCAGTTCAGGGGCAGGAATATTGTACGATATTTGATAGCTTGCTCGCGGGGGAATGGCGTAGATGAAATTCACGAGGAGTGTGTGGTGGAGCTGAGCCGTGGCACAGTACCTATTTGCTCTCTTCCAACTCTTTGTTTCCCCCGTTCGCATGGCTTTTCCATCATACCAGCTGGTTCATTGTTCATTTGATTGTGGTCATGGGCTCTCACTCGTGAGCATATCCTTTGTCTGTGTTGTAATATGAAATGCCGAATTTGCATCGGTCATGTCATTATTTACTACGACAGAATTTCTGGTATGAGTTCATAACTACTTGATCTCATTACACTGTTGACTACAGTAGAGTTTCCTCAGAAACACTATCATATTACTTTTTTTATTTTTCTCACTCATGTTTCCTTTCTCTTTACTGCTATGTTGTGTAGTATCGTTGTCATTGATTATTCTTCTCTCTTGCGCGAAGGACGTGTTATGTATGATTGTAGCCTGCTCTCCCGTAAGATAAATAGGGCCCGATAGCCCTCTAGTAAAGCTTCAATTAATCAAGAAGTACGGCTTCGGGCAAGAATTTCATTGTAACAAAAGCTATAAAAGGTTGTTAAAGCCCCGTCCCGGTGTGTCTGGTACATGCGGATCGAGCAACCTTAACTTTCTAGAGAGCTTAATCAGTTAACCTCTTTGCCAGTTGTGTGCGTAGGAGTTCTCTGGGAGTTGAGGGGTAGTAGTGTTGAGAGACAAAGAAATTATGGGATGCTAGAGGCCGACATGCTCTTTGATATGGGTGAGATATATATGTCCACCTGGTCTTTTTTTCTTTTCACTTCCTATTCTTGGGCCTTTTGGAAGGAAGGAAAAGAAAATTCAGCACAACTCATGTCAAAATGTTGGACCCTGGGACCAATCCCTACTCACGGAAGCTTGGTGATCGACTCCTCTCCACCTACATTCAGGCTTACCGTTTGGAGCACCCCACAGCTTATGCTTTCGCTTTCTCTGGTGGCACCAGGCTAGCGAATACCGAGCGGGCCGTGGTGTCCCTATTGCGGATTCCTTACTCTCCCTGCTACGATACCAGCTTCATCCTCAAATATTTCAGGACTGAGGATTTTGTGCAGGCGCACGAGGAGCAGGTGGCACTAGAAGCCGCCAGTCTGCACCACGCCGCTGAGGCCTTCCGGCGTAACAATAATATTTGCCGGGCTCCAAGAGTTTACCATGTTTGGCCGGAGCAAAATCTTATTGCTATGGAGTGTATTCGCGGGAGAGATTTTCTGAAGTGCGAGCAATCATGGTGGTCGAAGGAGAGGATGATCAAGTTTGTGAGGCATATGGCAGTTGTCAGACTTGCTATCCTAACCCAGGTGGAGAATCAGCTCGGGGTTCCTTGGCATTCCACGGATGAAGGAAGAAGAGCAGGGCCTTATTGTGCGAATGAGTGGTGGGATATGGAAAGGGTTTCGCCCCCCCTCCTCACTTTTCATTGCTTTTATTGCTTACACAATAATAATTATATTATCACGGTACAAATTTGTTGGGTGGCCACTAATCCTTGGTGTAGTACGGGTTCCGAAACCAGATCAACCGTGGTCCATTCCCGAACCGCCACGAAATGATACTGGCCTCCCTTCACCGGGAACTACACGTATTTAGAAGGATGAGACAAATTGGTGAAGCAGCCCCCGACGACTCGTGCTATGACGTAGATGAAATGATAGAGTACCTGGAAATGACAATCGAGAATATCGAGGAGGTACCCCGCCCAACCAGTCCGGAATGTTTTTCCTTGAACCACAACGACCTCAATCTTGGGTTAAACATTATGGTGCGTGGTGGCAAGGTGGCCGCACTCATAGATTGGGAGTCCGCCTCATACGACCCTTTTTTCTTGTGCGTCAGCGACTTGACCACTAAAAGGGACTTCAATCCCAGAGTTTGGTGGGAACATTCAGGACCAAATGGCCAAAACTTTCACGTTCTGCCCTACCGGTTGGACTCAGACCCCATGGAAGAGCTCTTGATCAAGGCAACTCTCGCGGGTGCCGAGCGGAAGCCATTCCCAGACTGGCAATTAATTGATAATAATGGGGGGCCACTCAATGAGGAGGACTTTTGTGGCGATAATTACCCTGAAGACATCAGCTCCGATGATGATGAGAGCATTGTGGATGCTGCGGAAATTTACTGTGACTCAGACGCTGATGCTGAGGAAGAATTTATGCCTCGTGGGGTCCCTAAATTTCAAGACCTTTTCATCCGTCTGCAGCGCCCTGTATGGATCCAGGAACATCTCACTCGTCGGTGGTACTACGAGCCGGTATACGCCCTCATGAAGGAATTTATTCACCACCAACGTGGGGCAGGCCTGGGACCGGGTGGAGAATGGGGAAAGCTGCCAGAGGAGTACTCTAGGCCACTGGCGGACTGGGAAGATTCACTCTTCATGAATGTCGCAAGGACCTTTTTTGAAGGCAGTCGTGACCAGATTATTGAACCGGATAGGGTATATAGGGTGGTTGAAAAGGATGCTAAGGTTCCTGCTTCAATTCATAATGTTCCTACTGGCACCCAGAATGTTCAACCCAAAACACATAAATCACCCGAGCGACAACGCCGGGTGCCTGCTCTTATCAGCACTGCGCAGAGTGGCACTGTGGTGAGAGCAGAAATTGCCCCCGAGTCTCCTGTATCGAGTAGTAGAAGCGCCTACCTTGCCAGGAACCGCCCCCGACGAGCTAGGCCACACTTACCCCCAACTACCAAGCGGAAGACCGGTCGGAATCATGACCCCGTTCCGGTATCCATGTTCCGGAGAGCGCGGGAGCCAAGGCAAGCAAATCAAGGAACAGAGATGGACCACCCGCTGGTGGAAGTGCAGCTCTCGGATGATGATGTTCTGGTGACTGGAGTTAGGGGTTCTATTATCGCGAGGGCTCTGGAGCAATTAAGGGTTAGGTTGGACAGTGGTGCGGGGGTTCCATAGGGGGTTCCTAGGAGGTTCCATAGGGCAGTGGGAGGTGAATCCCTCTCAATTTCTTCATTGATCCGGGGATGTCTGCGGGGGGTTTTTCTTCTTTTTTTGGGGGGTGGCTTTTCTTTTACTCCTCTCCTACTTCCCTTTTACATCTCGTTTTATTTATTACCTAATTTCCCAATGAGCCTCAGCCAGTTCAATAGCTTTACTCAATAGTTTGGGGGATGATCTAATCTGTTTTATTTCCCCTTATCTCGAGAGGGTTGCCTTTCATCAAGTGCTAGTGGACTTCTCTTAATAAAGTTTTTCCTTTCAGATAACTATGATACCATTGAACTGGTTGGGGGAGGCAATGGCGAGTGAGAGATAGTGATATAGTGAATACAACCCCATTTCACATGGATCTTAGCACCTCTGAAGCCACAATTATTTAGTCCCACATCTATTTGTGAGGCATCTAATCCCACATACTCGAGAACGACTTGAGTGAGATAGAGCATATAAACGATATCCGCAATTTTTCAATCCCGACATCCATACCTCCTCCAGTGTTCCTAAGGCTCGTAGGGCCTCCCATGTCCTGGATGATGGATTTCCAAGATCCATTTTACGCCGGCGGCATGTGTGAAGATGGCCTATAGTCATACTATATGTGTAATTATTGTATCGCTTCTTAGATAGGAAAACCGGCTCGGTGGTCTGGGAGTGTGGGAAAGGTAAAATACTCAGAAAGAATAAAGATGTGCCATCATACAAGGACCCCGAAACAGATGACTTTTCTCAGGAGAAGACCCGGGGGGCACAAACCCCAATGACCTCCCATTTACCCTATTGTTTTTCTTGTCGCTTTTCTTTTAAAAAAAAAAAATCAATAACTTTGCATTAGTAGAAACAGCTATCATAAGTATTATTGAAAATATGATACTCGTATATTGACTGCAATATAGCATGAACTTTGGAGGATAAGTGCGATGCTATGATAGGAAAGTATAAAAATGTGTTTTTGTTTTTGGTACGGTTGTCCATTCATGACCCTCCAGATCTTGCAGGTATGATACTTATCTGGGGTGTAAGGAATGTACCTACCGGTGTTCAGAATCGCCGATTCATCAGTCAGTCCTCTGGGGATCTCGGAGCATGCGCCCATACTGAGCTCTACTAAACACCTGCGCACCATATGCACTGATATACCATGCGGACCGATCGTCAACTATCCCAAATATTGTACGATAAGCCGGTGATGCTTTGGGTTCTGCAATATTGGGGGTTTGTTTGTCCCCCGATAGTGCCTTCGAGTCCTTACATGATAAGTGCGGTCAAGGAATGGTGAATACGGCATACCGCAAGTAGATAGTAGAAAAGTAGGAATTGTAGGTATCAATTTGGTAATGTGGAATCTCAAATCAAACTATGTCAACAAGCGACGGCGTGAAGAAGGCACTCATCTCCCCCAACAGCTTTTTAATCCGCTTTGCCTACCCTAGAGATCTAGAGAGTACAGGTGAATAAATG